CGTTGTTGGCCCTTAAATCGAAGTCAAAGTATCACATTTCCTCCCCACTTATAGAAATTTCGCCCTCGAAATATGTCCACTGTGATTAACCTAAGCTTCGCTTGTGGTAATCCTTTTCACTTGGAGGATTTGTATTTCCTTTAATTTATACGACATGACCTAAAATCCTTCTCTCCATTCACCGCAACTTCAATGTGGTTGTGGCTTCTTAACCCCTCACATCACCTATGCACCTTAGACGTATGTCGGAGAAATAACTCTCCATTATGCAGTATGCGAGACGTTAATGCTTCTCTCAAACCCCAAGGTTATAGATGGCAGCTTATCCTCTATCCAGTCAGATGGTTCAACTCCTTTAACATCACTCTCGTCCGGGGTTGATCTCATAGATCACCTAGGTCCTTGTATCTCCTAACTTGGCATCTCTTACTTTCTTCCTTATTGCCTCGTCTTATCCATTAACCATAAATTGAATGGTCACCTTCTCGTTACTTGTTGCTTAGTGTTGGAACCTCATACTACTGCTTAGACTTTCTGTATGCATTAGGGGCATCCTTTGCATCTTTCTCTAGCTTGCGATCAACTTTATGACATCTTTCCAGAATCATGTCCTTCCATTTTGAGTACTTGTTCACTTCTGGAGCCTAACTTAACACTTCCTTATCACCGTTTGACTTGTGAGTTCTCGTACGATCTCTTCTATTGTTCTTAGACCTTGCCTGAAATTCCTCGTACAGTTTCCCCGTCCTAGAAATTTTCACTCGAGAGGTCGCCACCTTTCACCCTCATAGGCGGTCTTGGTTTCACATTGGGGTACCTAGCAGGTTCCCTAAACTCATATCCATCTTACTTCCTTACTCGTGACTCTTCTTCCTGATGTTCCTCGTTAGTTCAAGATATCCCTCGTTCTCGATGTAGTCATCTAGGTTCTCATATTCTCTTCATACTTATGTACCTTGACCTATAAGGGTCTCCCTTTGACTATTCTTGACGACTACGATTCCACCTTACAATTGGCCAAAATTTCTCGATGGACTTCCTATGGATCAACTGTTCTCTACTGGTAATCAACCTAATGCTTTCTTGTTGTCTGCTGTACTCCTGCTTTGGCCTGTCCTAGCTATCTTCCTTGACACATACATCGTTCGGTCGACGGCCACCTTTTTCCCCCCCTATAGCGTCCTATGGTGTTCTCCTTGCTTCTTTACTTTTACTACCCTTCTACTGATGCTTTGTACTATATTTGGTCACCAAACTCTGTTGAGTATCTTCTCGTTATTTTTTGGGTCCAAGCTTCCAATAGAAGATTTCCCTGACTAGGATTTACCATACATCATTCATGTCATTTGTCTCGATTGATGCCTACATATGGCCTCAATCTCATAGTCTGGGTTCTTAGCGGCTTCACTGAACGTGTCTTACTTATCCTTAACTAGCCACTTCCTCTGGATGACATCCTACTATGTCGCCCCCACTCAGAGTGGGGCACCTTGGGTAAGGTAATTTAATGATTTCTTCCTTCTTGGTAATGCTTTTCCTCGTCGTACTCCACTATGCATTTTCTTGAACCCGAGTCACCTAAGCATATTCTCAATCCTTCATCAGAACTTCCATGTGCTTCCTCGAATTCTCTGCCATTCACTAGAACATTTAGTGAACGTTCCACTTACTTGTCTATACTCGGTTGGATAAATGACTTACTCCTATAGCTAGTTTCGAGACTTCAGCTCTTAGCCCCTTATTTCCAACTTATTATAGAGGTTCCTCCTTCTGTCACCTCTCATGTACCCTAGATGGCTAGGTGCTCCCTCCTTTTAGGATAGGACAACCACACAAAAGATCCTCACGAACTCTTGCATTCCCCTTTCAATGGTGCCAACAACATCCTGACCTTTCGTGATCTGGGAAGTTTGTAGGGTCTCTCATATCCCAATCCATCCTCTTTCTAGATCGGCGTTGTTCACTAGAATTATTATTGATCCAAGATCGTCCTCTACCTCGATTATCTTGATGCTTGTCTTTTTCCTTTTTAAAGGCTTGCTACCAGCCTAACTTCCCAGGGTCATGTACCCTTTTCTCTACTGATGTAGTTTATCTATAAGGGTTCCTTTATCGTCATCTATAAACGACCATGTCTCATCTCTTTCTTAAACTGTTGACTTCTTGACGTCTTTTCAGACCCCCTCTAACCTACTTACTTCCTCATTTACTTCATTTATACTACACTAGCTTCTCTTGAAGTCTAAGCTTTCCACTGCTCCTTGTCACTGTGTTGTAATGGCGTTGACCAATAAAACTAGTTGAGGGACTTCTCGGTGTACCTCTTCGTTTCTTGACCCGTTGCCCACTTTCCACTGCTTAGGACCAAAGACCCTAACATAATACTATTATCATAGCTACCGACATCTGGTGATTGGAGATTCATATTTCTCCCCTTTGTTTGTCTTAGTTTATTAGATCATCCACTTGTTTCCTAGTAGTAAAATCCTTTTACTACTCTCTCAACTCCTTCAAAATCCTTGAGGTATTCCCTTTCAATTGGCACCTCTTTGCTGGTGCTGGGAGTTGAAGTCCTCGCACATTTGATGCTACATCCACAGACCTTTGCAACGTTCCTCCTTCCTTTTCCTCGTATCTTGAGATTCTAATAGAGTTGGCCACATTTATTGCTTCTTTCCTTTCATACTGATGATCGCCATACGCCTCAGTCTCTTATTTGACGTCCCACGACGTGTTAACTTAACTCGCGTCCAAGCTTATTCTTAAACCAATTGCACCCTCGTGCTACCTTCTCGTAGTGTCGTGCTGTAATAGTTATTCACCTTATTAAGATTAGAGTAGACTGGAGATCCTATAAACTCTTAAAAGAAGATCCTTGACTCGTTTTCCCTTTCCTTTAAAACAATTGCCTTTAAAACTGAGACCGATATTCCAGTATTCCTTAGAGACCAAGGAACAGAGGAAGACTGGCTCTGATACCTAAATGAAACACCCTAACCCGGCCGGGTACACTTTTACTAAAATGCCATTGACAAATAAATTACTCAAATCTTAAATTGCAGCGGGAAAAATGTTCATATATAAAATACCGAAAACACACTTGAAGTTCAAGGCAAAGCCCTAACACATGGGCAAATTAAACTCAAACTTTAAAATCTCAACTGATCTCAAAATAATCTCCAGTCTGTACTCATAATCATAAATGTAATTAAATAATAAACTCTGAAGCTGTGTCTACTGAAAACCTTGACTAAGCATCCTCCGTGACGCTTATACTGCTCTCCTCTAGCTGGCTGCCCTCGAACCCGCTGCTCACTAACTGCTCCTCTAGCTCCTCAAACTGGTGAGTGAGATGGGGTCAGTCTACGCCCTTACGTTTTAATAATTCTAATACTTGAGTACTTTACTTAAACACTTAACTTTGACTAGTGGAAGTTGTTTTATACTTCCAATCTTAAAATCTTAACTCTTAAAATTTGAGGAAGTTGAAGTTATTCTCCTCTCTTAAATCTCAAATCTTGACTTAAATACTTGACTGACACGGGGATCCCTCACTAGCTAGTCCGGTTGCCAACTCATACGTATGAGAAGCCATCCAGGCTTTCCTTAAACTTAAACTTAGTTAGGGAAGTCGTAACGATTCATCCCCCTAACATCTTAAACTTATCGTGGTGGCTCTTCACCACGATTCTCAAGGGCATAACTACTTCACATCTTAAAAATCTCAAGAGCATAACTGCTGCTCTATCTCAAACTGTCTCAAAAGCAAACGGACTGGCGCTAGTGACTAAAAACACTTAATACGGCTTCACCTTCTTGAAGGTGAGTTACTTCTTTAAAAAGAACTTGGTTCTTAAACTTTAACTATAACTTATACTTAGGAGAATTTCAAGGTAAATAACAACCATTCACTTCAAGTCATAATTCAACCAAAGCACATATCATCAAACATAATCATGCAATATCAAACATGAATCAAATACTGCACGCACATCACGTAAATCAATACTTAAAAATACTCGAAGCAAATACTTGAAAAACCGTAACGCGTAGAATTTACCCCATTTACACTCACCTTATATCCTTCGAAACGAACTCTGAATCTGCTCTAAAATTTCCATACTTGCTCCAAAACTCTGAAATTCGAACGTAAGCTGCAAATGCAACATGAGCAGAATTTCATGGCATCTTGCTAGGAAGGCTCGTCACAAGATCAATCCACGTCGGAGAAATCTCGCCTGCTTGTTCCCAATTTCCATGGGTCCCTGGTCTCCTCCGGGAATTATACTATTTTGGCATTTCTTGTTTGCTCTATAGCTGTAATAGGTCCGTTGCTGGGGACGGAGAATGAAGACTCAAAACCGGAACCACTCAGCAGACAAAAAGTGAAGCGGTGGCCCTAGTTAGCGATGCTGATGCGAATGGCGCCGTTGTTGAGGTGGAAAAAGGCGCGGTTCCTTCATCTCCCATCTCCTTACAAAATGAAATTGCCTTGCTTCCATATTCCATACCCACTAATCAGCGATGTCCATGCACAATCAGGGAATCCTCAGCCTCTCCCTTGGCAATCCACCCATGGAAGATAATAAAAAAAAACTTATTTAGAATTTCCGGCAATCCACCAAGGAAGTAATAATTGACCATACCCTCCTCCTTTTCTTCTTCCTTGTACACGCAAGCAACGGCAGCAGCAAGCTTGCGGCTCATGTTTTGTATCTGCCGAAAGCAGAGATGGATGGATTGGTGGTTGATTTAGGGTTAGCTTAGGGTTTTGCCATTTAGTGAATGGGGACGGTTGATGGGGAAAATACAATGAGGGCCGAGCGCCCTCCTAGCAAATTTCTTTTTTTTTTTATAATAATAATAATAATTATAATAATAATAATTATTATTATTATTCTTAATCCGCGATTGCAATCCTTAGTACGTAACCGTTAATCCAATCGTTCACGTATTATGGTCGAACTGAACCCAAAGGTCGGGGTGTAATACTAGCGCTCATGGACAAACTCAAGGCGGACCAGCAGCAGCGGAAGGCAGAGCTCGAGAAACTTCAAGCTTCCCTCGATACGTGGATGGAAAGGTCCAAGAGTTACTCCGTCAATGTCGGTGCCTCTGTCCTCGGAGAAGAAGCTATTGTCGTACCCCGCCACCCAAGACTGCCATCGCAAGCAATGCCGCTCCGCTGCAATCCGGGGTGGGTTGCGGATTTGAAGTCGGTGGGAGAGTCCAATCGGGTGGTTTGCCAGCTGACTTCGGCGATCGGCGAGGAGAAGTTGACGACGATCTATTCGTTTGAATTAGCCAAGTGACGTGTTCTTAGTGGTAAGTTTAATTAGTAAGTTGTTAATTACTTTTAGTAGTCGTTAGTTGTTCTTCCTAATGTAACTCTGTACATATATAAATGAGAAAGCAGAAAACGAAGAACTCAAGGATTTTGAGATCTCTTCACCAAAAACCCTAGCCATTTCATTTTCTTCTTATGGTATCAGAGCCTGGTTGCTCTTAGCATAGGTCTCGATCCTTCGTTTTTCTTCTAAATCTGCTACCCTAACTTTCCCAAAACTCTACAATGTCAGGAAAACCATCTGGACAAGATGGATATGGAAACACAGAGACCGACGAGTCGATTTTTGGAAACACTACTCAACGCGACACCGAGAGGCACAATGCCTAGACTGGAGCTGCTATTGACCTAGTCATACCTGGATATGAAGATCCATATCTTAACCCATACTACCTTCTAGCTCCGATGGAGGGTTGACAACAATCATCTCGATGAAGCTCATAGATCAGAACGACAACCTATGGAGTCAGGTAATGGAGCTGACTCTCGCTACAAAGAACAAATTGTAGTTTGTGAATGGTTTAATTCCAGTACCTGGATTGACATACCCTATTTTGGCATCTTGGCATAGATGTGATAGTACAGTTAGATGTTGGATCTACAATTCCCTTTCTAGTGATATAGCGAATAGCGTGGTACCTAACAAGGTAGCCAAGGATGTCTGGGGTAATCTGAAGGACAAGTTTAGTCAAGCTGATCATATTAGGGTTTATGAATTGAAGGAGCAGATCTCCAAACTTGCACAAGGAGATATGACAGTGACTCAATATTACACTGCCTTAACCACTAAATGGCAGGAGTATAACATGCATAGACCAATTGCTTGCTGCCTCTGTCCCAATAATCCCTATTACACCATTCAAAAGTACATGTGCAGGATTTGATCATTAAATTTATGCAAGGGCTCAATGATACTTACCAGTTTGGAAGAACACGGGTTCTTATGAATGCTCAGCTTCCTAGCATAGAATCTGTCTTCAAGCAGATGGTTCAGTTGGAAAGGCAAATGAAGGGGATGAGCATGAGTAAAGCCAGGATAGATTCCATTGCTTTACTAGCAGTTGGGAATCAGTCTCGATAGTCTAGAGGAAAAGGAGGACAAGGGAACAAGAACCCTAGAGACTACACCACTAAAGGAAAGAAGTGGTGCAGGTATTGCAAAAAGGAGAATCACACAATTCAGGAATGTTATAGGCTGAAGAACAAACAGTCTAGGGAAAATGATCCCTTTGCTGGATCAGTGGATAGTCACTTGAGTGACTCTGGAGGATCAAATTTGGGGACTGTGGGAAAGTAAGAAGGAGAGTTGAACCTGAGCAATCTGCTGATTGCTGAACAGTTTGACAAACTGAGAAACATGCTGATGAGATCTCCCTCACCTTCACCTTCTCCACCAAGTTCACCACATATGCAGCAGCACAATGCAGCAGTGGTAATGAGGGCTTCTCCTCCCACTGTGAGCCAAGTTCAGAGGTCACCAAATCCACATTTTGCAGCAAGTTCTTCAGGTAATACAATTACCCCTATGAACCATTCTTTTCTCCATAGTAAAGTTTCGATTCTTGATACTGGAGCCACAGATCACATTACCTATGATCAGAGCTCATTCATCAAATGTAAACCAATTGATAAGGTTTACATAGGACTGCCAAATGGGAAGAAAGTTCAGGCCACACACATTGGGATCATCACTCTGCCTTGTGGACTATTCCTCACTCAAGTCCTTTTTGTTCCTTCTTTTACTTACAATTTAGTTTCTGTAAGTAAGCTTAACAAAAATCATCCAATCTCATTGGTTTTTAAATCCAATTTACGTGTCATTCAGGATCTTATTACTTGGAGGAGGATTGGTTTAGCCCAAGTGGATAGAGGTCTTTACCTGTTTTCAGAGTCCAAAAGTCAGGAGTTTGCTTTCCATAGAGATTCCAAGAGTTTTGGCGCAGGTGTTTTCTATTTTCACAACCAAGATTTCAACATATGACATGCCAGATTAGGACATCCATCTTTGTCTAGAATGAAAGAGATCAAATTGTCTTGTAATGATGTTGTTTTACCTTCCACACAACACTGTGATGTATGTCATTTGGCTAAACAGAAGAGATTGCCATTTTCCCTTAGTTCTACTGTTTCCTCACAGATTTTTGAACTCATACACACTGACATTTGGGGGCCACTAAATACTATTTCTCGATATGGTTACACCTATTTTTCACTGTAGTAGATGATTACAGTAGGGTTGTTTGGGTGTTTCTTCTTAAATCCAAAGCAGAAGCAAGATTAGTGCTGCAATTCTTCTGCATTATGGTCAAAACCAGTTCAATGTCACCATTAAAACCATATGTTCATACCAGGGTAAAGAATTTCACATGCCAGAGTTTTACAACTCTCATGGCATTGCTCACCAAATGAGCTGTGTTTACACAGCACAGCAAAATGGGAGAGTGGAGAAAAAACACCAACACCTTTCAAATTTGGCCAGATTCCTGAAGTTCCAGTCAAGATTGCCTTTGTGTTATTGAAGTGACTTTGTCCTCCATGCTTCATATCTCATAAACAGAAATCCCACACCTCTTTTATGCCATAAAACACCCTTTGAAATGCTGCATAAAGTGCCCCCCCAGATTATATGAGATTAAACATTTTTGGATGTTTAGCTTATGCCACAGCTTTGGAAGGTTATAAACATAAGTTTGACCATAGAGCCAGTCAATGTGTCTTTCTTGGTCTGCATGTAGGGATTAAAGGTTATAAACTGCTTGACATTGCTAATAAGAGGGTCTTTGTCAATAGAGATGTTGTTTTCTACGAGACAATTTTACCCTACAAGGATTCAAATTCCTCTTCTCAATCTGGGGCAGAAGTAAGGTCCTCAGACTTCCCTTCTACTCCCATACCTTCTTTTTCTCCAGAGGATTCTTCTTGTTCAGAACCTCTACCTTCGCATGAGCATGAGTTACCAGACATTCCTACTTCATCTGGTACATCAACACCATCCACACCTCTGCCATCATCACCTTCTCCTGCTGCACCTATTTCCTACTCGCCTTCTTCCTCCTCCCCTGATGCATTGACACAGCAATCACCTCCACTAGTGGTACCCCTAAGAAATTCTGACACGCAGAGTGTTTTTACAAAAAGTATGATGACTTCTATGCTGGTTGTGTTCAAGTCAGTGCTTCTCCCAAGCCTATACCCTATGATCTATTGCATCTTACCCCTCACCAGCATCATTTTGCTTTGACCATTGCTGCTATTGTTGAACCTACTACTTATGCTGAGGCAGCTCGTGATCCTAGATAGAATGCTACAATGACAATTGAAATTAGAGCATTATATGACAACAATACTTGGGAGATAACTGACTTGCCCCCAGGGGTGAAACCAATAGGTAACGAGTGGGTTTACAAGGTCAAATTCCTACCTACTGGAGCAATTGAGAGATTCAAATCTAGAGTTGTAGCCAAAGGCTACACTCAGATCTATGGGATTGACTATTGTGATACCTTCTCCCCTATTGCTAAGTTAACCTAAGTGAAAATGCTCATGGCTGTTGCATCCATTCAGAACTGGCATCTACACCAGATGGATGTCAACAATGCATTTCTCAATGGGGACTTAGAGGAAGATGTTTACATGGAAATACCTGAGGGGTTAAGAGGAAAAGAAGAATACAAGGGTAAAGTCTGTAAGTTGAAGAAATCCCTTTATGGCCTCAAGTAGGCCAACAAGATGTGGTATGCTAAGTTAACAGAATCCTTACTTGCTAATGGTTTTACTCAGTCCAAGGTAGATTATTAAATCTTTCTTACAGAAGTCACAAGAAGTCTGGTGGTTGTGATTTTATATGTTGATGACATAGTCATTGGCAATTCAAGTTTAGAAGTTGTAACTTCAGCCAAGCAGCTGTTAGGATCATTGTTCAAAATGAAGGACTTGGGAGAGCTCAAGTACTTTCTTGGCCATGAAGTGCATAGGTTAGATGCAGGGATTCATGTTTCCCAAAGGAAATACTGCATTGAACTCTTGAAGGAGGCAGGTTTTGATGAGTGTAAACCAGCCAAAACACCTTCCAGCATCAAGTAGGTGCTTTCTGCTACTGAGGGTGAACCCTATACCAACATCAGCCACTTCAAGCATCTCCTTGGCCAACTGCAGTACCTTAACAATACCAGACCTGACATTACCTTTGCAGTGCAACAGTTGTGCCAGTTTCAGGACTCCCCAACAACTCTGCATCTCAAGGCCCTACATAGGGTATTCAGATACCTCAGGAATTCACCAGGTCAAGGAGTTTTCTATTCCATCCAAGCCTCCATTCAGTTAACAGGCTACAGTGTCTCAGATTGGGCCACCTGTCCTGACACAAGGAGGTCATTGGCTGGATTTTTTGGTTTCCTGGGCACAAGTTTGATTAGTTGGAAAGCTAAGAAGCATTGCACTGTATCTAGATCCTCATTAGAGGCGGAATACAGAGCATTGACTTTACTCAGTTGTTAGATTCAAGGGCTGGTAAGACTTCTTTCTGATTTTGGTGCTAATCATTCTCATCCAGCCTTGGTATTTTGTGATAGTCAGTCAGCCATCCACATTGCCAGGAACCCTGTGTTCCATGAGCCATCCACTTCACATTTCTACTACGCATTAGTTAGCTGATGTTTTGACCAAAAGTCTTGGAGTTGAGCGGTTCAATTTCCTCATCAGCAAGCTAGGAGTATCTGGATGACACTCGCCAGCTTGTGGGGGGGGGGGGGGTATTGGAGAACTGATCTAGATGCAGCAGCAGTAGATGATGATCAATGAACCTAAAGAACAATGGACCTCATGCTGCAGAGGAATGAATATGACTGCAAATCCTTGTCCCTGTACGCATGAAACGGTGGCGTTGTGCCTTCACTAAGCGTGAATCCAGAACGCCACCGTTTCCCTGGATCTCAAGAAGACATGTTGAAGAGGACATCGTTTGAG